TGGGGGTCGTGTCTCACTTTGGGCCTGTCTCCCCGTTTGCAAAGGAAGGCACTGGCTCTGGGCAGATCAGGTGACGTGTGGTGAGAGCTTGGTTTCCCTATACAGATCCTGGGCAGGGCAGGATGCTGTGCCCCCTTGCCCCTGCCCCCAGCTTGGAGGGTGCCTTAGCCTTTGGACTTGCCACCTTGAGGCCTGGGAGGGGCAGGCAATTTCCTCCCTGGAGCGAGGAACAGCCACAGGTCATCCCACAGAGGTGGTGCCCCTTGCCCACTTGGCCTGGCTTCCTCCTGGGGCAGCCCTCGGCACAGCTTCCTGGCCTGGGGCCACCGGGACAGGGCCAGAGTCCCACTGGGTCAGGGCCAGGTCCCCACCTAAATTAGGCCAGCATCCCACCTGAGTTGGGGCCAGGATACCACTGGGACAGGGACAGGTCCCCTCCCAAGTGAGGCCAGGGTCCCACACAGGTCAGGGTCAGGGCCCCACTGGGACAGGACCCCGCACCTCCCTGAGTAAAGACCAGGGTCCCACTGGGACAGGACCAGGTCCCCACCCAAATCAGGCCAGGGTCCCGCCTGAATCAGGGCCAGGGTACCACTGGGACAGGGACAGGTCACCACACAAATCACGCTCAGGGCCCAGTGGGACAGGACCCCGTCCCCACCCGACTCAAGGCCTGGGTCCCACCGGGACAGGGCCAGGTCCCCTCCCAAACCAGGCCAGGGTTGCACCCAAGTCAGGGCCAGGGTCCTACCGGAACAGGAAGCCGGCCCCACCTGAGTCAAGGCCAGGGTCCCACCGGGACAGGACCAGGTCCCTACCCAAATCAGGCCAGAGTCCCACCTGAGTCAGGGCCAGGGTCCCGCCAGGGCCAGGGCCCTACCAGGACAGGACTCCGGTCCCACCTGAGTCAAGGCCAGGGTCCCACCGGGACAGGACCAGGTTCCCACCCAAATCAAGCTCAGGGTCCCGTTGGGACAGGGCCAGGACCCCACCCAAATCAGGTTCAGGGTCTCACGCGAGTTAGGCTTAGGATCCCATCCAGGTCAAGGCCAGGGCCCGTGGGGCCTGAGGGGGCCCAGACCCCCAGCGCCAAGTCCTTCGTCACCGTCCACGTCAGGCCCGGACCCCCCACCCCCGCTGTCCATCCCAACTAGAAAGCCCGAGGGCCGGAGAGCACCACGGGCGTCACGCAACGCCGACCTGGGGTGAGGCCGCAGCCCGGGACGTGCGGCTGAAACTCCGCAGTACCCGGACATCCACCTCTTTCGCAGCGGCCGCCACGGATGTCCCTCGGCGCTCGCTGTGTGAAGCGGCAGCGGCGGCAGCAGCCGAAACCGCCCTGCCGGACTCACGCCCTTCCTGCGGCGGGATACGGGCCGCGAACTCACGGCGCGCGAAGAGCTCCCCTGTGCTGTCGGCCTCCAGGGAGCGCCGCCGCGCCCGCCCGCGTGGGCCCGCCCCAACGCGCTCG